ACGGATGCCTCGGGCTTGTTTCAAAGGCTTCGGATTTAGGGCTTCCCGGTGAAGCCTTGGAAGGTCCCAGATTGAGAATTCGGGGCCTCAAGGTTTGCGGTTTAGGGTTTAGGGTTTAGGGTTTAGGGTTTAGGGTTCAAGCTCGAGAATCTAGGCAGTACTTCAGCGTCCAAGCTCCACGAACAAAAACCAACAATCGTAGTAATCCTACCTCGCGCAACTACGATGCACATTGGAGCCACACGTACACCCTGTACCCTCAACTTTACCCCCGTGAACCTTTCGAGATGTAAATAGATATCCGTCCCTGCAAAGTAGTTGTGCACTCGCCAGGCTTCAAACCTCAAAACCCTCATTGTCACCTTGGCGTTCTAACGTTCTGTGCAAGCCTCAAAACTCGAAAAGCCTCTCGTAGCCAGTGCTACATGTGCATCGTAAGGTCTCAGCTATACTCCCAGGTCCTCAGCCGAAGACATGACAGGAATCTGCAAGAGTTGTGCTTTTCGTAGAATAGGGCACTCCCGAAATCCAAGGCCCGACGCCAGGAGAAATGTTCGTAGAAGGGATGTATACAATGATCAAGTTTGTTGAAGGGTCTTGAGGTATGCTACAGCATAGTTATACTAGAGCACCATATGGAGTAATATTCGATATTCGTCATTCTGTAGGCTTCTATGCTACGTTCGACAGTTGTGCTCTCTCGACTTGACAGGTTCTTCAGAATGGGAATCTCCAGATCTCCTGCCGATCTCATTTGTCCAACACATTCCTACCGCAGTATGACGGTGCCTCACAGAATTTGTGGTTACAGGCACCTGAACCCCAAAACCCCCCTAAGCCAAAGCCCAAACAAGCAGATCGAGCTCAGATTTCAACGTCACAGGCAGCGTCTGCAGCGGAGAGTTGCGGAAACTGGAGCTCCCCGGAGCGAGATGACACTGATTTGAGTCACGACTAATTCAGGCTAAAGGGTTTACGCCTTACAAGGTCTCGGGTTCAGGGTTTGGGGCTTTAGAGTTCAGCGTTTAAGCTCTCGGGTTTGTGGTGTAGGAAGCAGGGTCTAGTTAAGGGGGCTCTTCCCTAAAATGCCATTAACGATGATTAAAACTCAAAGTGTATGTATCTATGTATGTACGTACGTACAATATGTGTATATGTGTGTACATGCTATACTGGGGGTCCTCCCTAAACGATAGCTAAACATTGAAGGTATTTATTCCTTGGCAAACTGACGAATACGAGCTGGAACAGCCACGTAGTGCTGTTCAACCAAGACAAGCCAAGGCTGTCAGCATCCCAACCCTGCAATATACCATACCATAACAGGACAGAACAGAATAGAACAGAACAGAATACACTGCTAAGATACAATGCAGTATGATATAGTACACTATAACCTAATGTAACATAATATAGTATAGTAGACTGGAACAGAAAAGAACAAAATAGAACAGCACAGAACGTAATATCATACAGTGAAGCATGATAACTTATGCACGATTATAACACAATAAAACGGAATGTGCCATATTATCATATGATGGGCACAATGCACGTTCATACAGTACAGTGTAATATAATTGTGTATAATCTGGCATAGCATGTGTGAGCATGATATACCATATTGTAGTATGGCATACCATAATACAATACAATGTGACATAATGTAGCATAAGATGATGAAAAATGCTGAAAAACAGAAAAACATAACACAATGCAATACAATATAATATACTACTATATTATAATGCATTATGAAACTTTCAATATAACATGATATAGCTTACATTATAATGCATTATGAACCTTTCGATATAACATGATATAGCTTAATATAACATAACATAATGATTATGACATAATGTAATATATAACGATATAAGTTATAGTATATTACACAGCAATATAACAAGAAAATACAACATAACACAAGATAACACACTATACTAATCTATGATACAATACAATCTATTATACGACAAAACATGCCATCATAAAACGGATTTTACAAATCTAAGATGATAGATATAGTATAGCGTGGTAGAATATAATAATTATTATTAGTTAACAGAATGAAATATTATGTGGTATAATATTGTAGAATGTTATGTTTTGTTATGTAGCATAATATAGAAATATTCTATGATAAAACACAAATGAACATAACATACTATTATACTATGTTGTAACTCGATATAGTACAACATAGTATACAGGACAAGCTCCTCAACTCTTTGTAGTCGGTGCCTCATGAGAGGGTCCTGGCCGCTGTGGCTTATGGAGATTTGGATCAAGATAATCTATCTGGACTGCTCCAGCGAACCGCACCCCCTGGCCAGCTAAAGGAAGTTGTGGACAGGCAAAGGGCAATCTGCAGCATGTGCGGGCGACGTGCTCAGTGACGCTCACTACACACTTCAAGCGCAATTGGTAACGCTAAGGTCTCAACCTGAAAACTAAAACCTGAAGTCGTACTTCTGGGGATTCTGCCGGCATGGGAGTTGGGAGAATCGGTCCAGAAACTCGCCATCTCTGTAAATCGCTGCCAGCGGAACCTAACATGCCTGCAGGCTATGCTTACCATCAAGAGCAGAGGATTTCGGCATGCATCTTGGCCGGGACTGTCAATCCCCAACACCTAGAAGCCTACGCCGCACCCATCCCAGCACCTGTATTCACAGCGCGGACCCCGAAGCCCAAACCGGCAGCGCTGCTTGACCCCGCACCGTTCAGAACACTACACATGCGCAGCATGACCAGCATGAGCCATCAGTGCTGACAGCAATACCCATGGCATAAAAAAGAAACCACGGGCACAATAGGAATGATGTCATTGCCGCTGATCTGTTTCGTCATCACCATCAGCATTACCATCACAGTCACGCTCGCGTTGCCACCAGCAGACCTAATTTTGACTGTTCTTGATGTAGACTTGGTACTATAGTAGCGGTATTTCGCTGCGTTAGCCGTCTTGTTGTTGTGTCTGCTGGCCTGCTAGCTTCTCAGCCTTATCCATACTGCTGTCATGCATCCGTCTCGGTGCCGTGCCTGAGATAACTCCTGTCTGAATCATGAGGACCCTCCGATCTCAACCCAGTGCTAAGTTTGTGAAGGTTGGTTTACCCATAGGTCCCTAAGTAGTCCCTTTTGGGGATTACCTTGTAGGATTCTACATATAAACCACACAAAGGAACTACTTAGGGGCCCATGGGTAGGGTCTCTTGGCATCGTCGTCTACCACAGCACCTGCAGCTCCCCTACCCGTGAGACGCCCGGGAGTGCCCTGAAGATTCGGGGCTGTGCGCCGAGAAGGTTTCGGAGTTGGGTGTAGAATTTAACACCCTAAACCCTATAAACCCCTATAAACCCCTAAACCCCTATAACCCCTAAACCCCGAAACGGCTACTGATTATGTCTTTCAAGGTTCGTGCTGGTAAGAACTGCGGCCCAGAGCCTGGAGGTTCAGCTCTGCAGTCCCAAGTTTGGAGCGACGAAAGTTACGGGATTGGGCATTGGTTTAGGGTTTAGGAGTTTAGGGCTTAGGGTTTATCTGAGAAAGAGAGGATTCCTCTGTCCAGGTGCTCGAAATGTGGTGCGATGCACGTAAGAAGGTCGGCGCCTTGCGAAAAACTAGCTCAAGAGGTCTAAACATTGCCTAGAAGTCCTGGGGAAGTGTCCCCCGGGCCCTTTCTTCTCCCTTTCTTGAAGCCACTTATAGAACCCTTTTAAGGGAGCCTTTAAAGGAACGACCAAAACCCTATTCTAATTATTAAAGCCCAATCCTTGAGGCTTCGGTGATCGGCTTGTGATTGGCGGACCCGAGTCTCCAGGAACTCCCCAAGAGCAGGGAACACTAACGATGCCTCTTCAGCACTCTGAGGTACCATGGCTTAGAGGATTGGGCTTGAGGTTTCTAGTGCTTTGGGGTTTGAGGTTGTAGAGTTGAAGTATTTCAGGCTGTAGTGGTTCAGATGTGCAAAACCGTCAATCGAAAAGACCAAGCTGTCCAAATCCTGTAACCCAAAGCGGGACATCCAGAAGCGTAGACCCTTCTGCCATGCTCAGGGCTGTAGTCGAGCTTAGACCCGCTTTCGCTTTGACATGCTGGGGGATCTCGGGAAATGGCGCAGGGCTTAGGAAGCCACGCGAACCATGGCCCCTTTTGTCATGTGTCTACCGATTGTTTGGAGTTTGGACTCAGGACTTGCGATTTCGAGTTAAAATTTACAAGTCGTGGGACCTGAAGAACCAAGAGCAGCCGTTGCAGCTGCTTACCTTGCGGGGTTTTCTGTTGCGCTACAGCTTGTGGAGTAGTACCTGTGCCAAATCTTGAGGCGACTTGATAGTCTGAAAAACTCCAACCCGAAATCCTCACAGCGGCGGGCAGAAGAACTGGGTGTCCACGGAAGCTGCAACGCGGAGGCTGTGAGTCAATTTGGGGTCTCGGGGTCCAAGCCCCTGACGGTAGCCCTAGATCCCAAGACACGTAAGATGGATGATCTGGCGGGGCTTGGCTTTGAGCGCCATCGTGCTACTCACTTGTAGGGTGAGGGCTCATAGCAATCAAAGGTGCGAAGAAGAGGCTTCAGGTGTTGGATTTCAGGCCGTTTAGCTCCAGAGTCCAGAACCCTTGAATTCAGGGCTGCATAGAGGGGGAACCTCCATCGATAGGTCTCCATTATGTGTTAGTTCAGCACGCTTCTTGAGCCACAGGGTTGGTGGAAAAGTACCTGCTCTCATAAAGTGAGTGGCATTTTTCACTCTGAATCCCTAAACCCCGAAATCCCAAACCCAAACAATAAAGGGAAGCGGACACTTGTAAACTCAAGGAGGGAGTGGGCAGGGGCCGCAACAGTTGGTATCGGGTTGAAGGATACATTAACATTGTAGCCTAATCGCATGTGAGGTCGGCTTGCACCTGACCCTTTCTTCAAACAGCTGAGGTACAGCGGTTTAGGCTAGGGTTCCCCTCTGACAGAATCCCGGACGGAAGCCGCGGCCTTGTACCCGACGCCTGGGCGTCGCCTTGGGATGTGGAGACTTTGTGCTTTAGGCCTTTTTGGTGGATAGGATGGCTGCTGGGGCGTTAGGGCTGCTGGAGATTTGGGGTTTGGGATTTTCGGGTTTTAGGCTTTGCGGGTGCTGGGCTTGTGGGGTCTTGGGCTTCTGAGGCTGTAGGCTTCGAGTCCTTCCAGGCTTCAGGGTTCAGGTTCGAACATGTGTGCGGCTCAGGAATAGGGCTGTAGGTTTCAGGATCGGAACTTTCTTGTCAGCCTCTTTTGCACAGCCTCACCACTGCAGAACCACACCATGCGCCATGTCAAGCGGGAGTTTCTCAAGGCATGCGGCTGTAAACTGGTCACTCAACGTAGAAGCCATAAAGCAGGAGCATTGGTTAAGGATGATTTGTGCTGGATTTCCGATTATTTTATATGAAGGGTATGCGGAAAGTGATGTTCCAACGTCCTGGCTTCTGGTCTAGTGTTCGAATGCAAGACCTACTTTAAGGAGCCTCAAATCATCGACCTGCCGTGGTGGTTGCCTGTGTCTGGCCCAACTGTGTTGGAAGAAATATCACTTTAGAGCTGGGTTCGGATACCCTGAATCCTAAAATCCTAAACCGTGCCTCAAAAACCTTGTAAAAATACAGCCCTAAACTGCATAAAGGGATAGTCGCGCAAAGCCTAAGCCGGACCGCTGAAGAAACCCACATGTTTACGAACCTGGGGCACCGGCGGGCAGGAAAGAAGTGTCCGTGCGAAGGGACGAAGCCTCCACTAGTTACTAGTTCTCATGATTTCGGTTTTTCTGTGGTCGAATTGAGCGCTATCGGGATCAGCTGGCCACCCCTTGGTTTTTGGTATGATCTTGACCCCCTTAGACCTATCTCAGCTCTGGGCTTCATGGGGAGGAAGCGAACCAGCCCCAGAGCTTTGGCCGTCAGCCGTCTCCACTCTTCCGCCGATCGCTTGCATCATGCTCGACAGATTGCCAACGCTTCCAAAAGCGATCTCAGCTCATGTAAAGTGCCCATCTGTTCAACAACTTCAACCTAGGGGCTGTCATTATGCAACCCCCCGAAACTCGACATCTACCTTGGAAAGTGCGAAACGACCGAGAAAAACATGAAACCCACTGTATCCAACCCAAAGCTCTCTGCCAGCGAAGGAACGATTTTCCATTGCCTTCACATGCTCCAACAACAGAAAACCTCTTACATCAGCGCTTGTAATCCTTAAGCTAGTTGAGGATTCAGTGTCTACCCTGCACTAGCCCGGCTTCCTACGGTTGATGGTATAAATCCTGCATTACCCATAACCAGGACTATACCATAATTCCCATAGTTTAGGGTCCTTAAACTAATGTAGGATTTCTGTCATCAACCCCTAAACCCTAAAACCCTATACCCTAAACTATCATCACCAGTGGGACGCTCTACTTCTTCCAAGCTGCGCAGGAGGGTAGCCGCGGCCTCACTCCAGCGAGGCGAAAACAAATCTACTATGAGCCGATCCGGGGGTCCTGTGCCTGGAAGGTGCCCAAACCAGAATCTCATGGAGAGAGAAAGAGAGAGAGAGAGAAAGAGAGGAGAGAGGCAGAAAGCAAGAGCGCGAGACAGTGCGTGTATATATATAGTATATATATATAGATACATACACATACACATACATGTATAGGTGCATGTATTTATGTACATAAGAGTATATATATATGTGTGTGTGTACATATATATATATATCGATATCTTTATTTATTTATTCGCCCATCCGGTTGTAGGAATCTACATTATATCATATACCTGAGTGTGTATACACATGCATATACGCGGGTGTATGTGTATGTGTATGTGTATATATATATATGTGTGTGTGTATATATGCACGCATACATATATGTATACATGCATGCATGCATACACACACACACTGTGACATGACATATGTGTAAAATATATAGAGAGAGATATGTATGTATGTATGTATGT